CTTTTTTATTCATACTCACTATTGTGCCATCGCTGATACTTACACCAATCGATAGATCTCAGTTTTTGCTATCGAATGGTGTGTGATTTAATGTTTTCTCTGGTATATTTTCTATCATATAAGCTCAAAAACTAGCCGGGTGTACTTATTGTTGAGTATTCAGCTCTTTTATTCATGCTCACTTGTGTGCCAGTGTTCATACATACGCAAATGAATAGATCTCATCTTAGTCTATCGGACGATGTATAACTCAATGTCTTCGCTATCATTTCTCTTATCAAAGAAGCTGAAAAGCTCAACAAGTGTACATATTGTTGAGTATATACCGTTTTTATTCATATTCACATTTGTGCCAGCGTTGATACATATACCAATCGATAGATCTTACTTTGCTCTATCGAATGATATGTAACTCAATGTATTCGCTACTATATTTCTTATCATATAAGCTCAAAAACTCAGTAGGTGCGCTGACGGTTGATTATTCACCTTTTTTATTCATAGTTACTTTTGTGCCAAGGCTAGCATATATATTTTTTGATAGATCTCATTTTTCTCTATCGAATCATGTATAGTTCAATTTATTCGCTATAATATTTTCTACCATATAAACTCAAAAACTGAATAGGTGTACTTATTATCGAGTAGTTACCTTTTTTATTCATATTCACTTTTGTGCCAGTGCTGATCAATACACCAATCGATAGATCTCATCTTCCTCTATCGAATAATGTGTAATTCAATGTAATCGCTGCTATGTTTTCTACCATATAAACTCAGAAACTGAATAGGTTTATTTATTATTGAGTATTTACTTTTTTTATTTATATTCACTTGTGTGCCAATGTTGATGTCTATACCAATCGATAGACCTCACTCTTCTCTATCGAATGATGTATGATTTAATGTTTTCTCGGGTATATTTTTTCATCATATAAGCTCAAAACTTAGTAGGTGTACTTATTGTTGAATATTTACCTTTTTTATTCATATTCACTTTTTTGCCAGTCTTGATACATACACCAATCGATATATCTTTTTGAGCTGCACCAAGTGAGCTATAATTCAGTTATATTTTCATGATATTTTGAACCATAGAACATCTAAAGGACTGAGTAGGTGTAGAAGATATGACAAATTTTACTCACAGATTCGCTTTCGCCTATGTGCCAAGATTCGAACATGTACTATTCGATAGATCTGACTTTCTTCCATCAACAGGAATATACATGAATGTCATACGGATCGATATTTCAATAATATGTATTCGAAACTTAAAGGAATATGTTTTAACAGGTATTTTCTCAGACGATTTATATATGAATCTGTGCCAATGGTAATATATGTTTTATTCGATAGCTTTCATATAGTTCTCTCCTTTCATATAGGACTTCTGGTATTTGTATGAACTTTCGAACTTGCATCGCCTAAACAAGTCAGATATTTTTATTTTTTATTCAATTTTATTGAAATATTCCTAGTTAACTAAGTTTTCAACATCTGGAGTAATGCTAAGTATGGAGAACACAAGAAAAGATAGAATTATAAGAGAGACAAACGGTAAGAGTTTTGAATGATTGAAAAATCATAAAGAAAATAATATAGAGAGTGTAGGTATGGCTGTAAATGAGTTGTGATGTAATCAGAACTGAAAAAAGTAAAAAGCATGAAACTTATATGTTTTGACACGAAATATTCTTTAGCTGTAGTGCATCGTTTCATTGCAACTACATCATGTGCCTTATGATATGACATGGGACACGCCTATAACTCATCTATGTGTACATACAATAACATAGGCTGCTATACAATTAAATGATCAACGAATATGTATGAGTAAAAAAGAAAAGAATTTGGAAAACGAAACCTATCTCAATAAATTAGAAATAATAACGCACGTTCTAGTTGTCATTGTCTTGCGTTTCAATAGCATAAATTGCTGTTTCGGCAACGTCATCGCCACCTTTATTGTTTTTTACGCCAAATTTGTTGAGATCGTCATATTTAGAAAATCGTCCTTTAGCACAAACAATAGTAGCAGTAAAATGATTTGCTTGTGGACAAATTGCTCCTGCTAGATTATAACTAAAAATAAATATTAGTTTTGTTTAAAAATTTTATTTATATAATTGTATGACTCACCGTTGTTTTCCAATAGTAAGTGCAAATGGTAAATCCTTAACCATCGTTGCTACTGTTTTGTTTTTCTCGATGGTAATTACACTTTTCCCAACATTCAGGAGTACGATCGGTGGTGATTTATAAACGAATTGATGGGGTTTAGCAATTCGATTGGAATTACATACAAACATTGTTCTAAATCATCATGTATAAAAGATAAATTTTTACGCAAATCAATCGGGTACACTCACGTGATACCATTACCATGTTTTGCCGGAAAGAAATCATCTCGAATATAAGAACCATTGTACGTTGTTGGTTCATCAGGACCAATGGTAGCACCACAATTTGTAGTAAAGTGTTCAGAAAAATTTATTAAATTAATGATACGACGATTACGACCACTAACTTGTCTGAAAAGGAAATCGTTTATTAGTTTGCAACAGAGATTAATATGAAAAAAGAAGCTTACGGCAGACTTATATCGACAGAATGTGAATGTCTGATGGGCTTAGGACATTCTGAACACGTGCACGTAGATTCGATAACATGCTTTTGTATCTCTCTTAAATATTGAAAGACATTTGTATCAGCAGTTCCATATAAATCAATATGTGCACAACCAGCTTTTGGATTTGAATAGATTGAATTAGCAGTAATCCAATACATTCTCGCAAGATCCCATCCTTTACTTTCAACGAGATCGAATGTTTTTCGTAATCGATCACAAACTTTAATATCGGAATCGAATAAAGAACGAAATTCGTCAGAATGTGACATATAAATATAATAAAGTAAAAATAAAGATGAATCTAATGAGCAGGTATTTGAGGCAGAATATTGACGATCACTACTGATAAAAGTTGGCCCAATATTAAAATGTGGAAATTGTAATTTTAAATTTCCAATTGTCGTATGTGTCGGCCAGTTCTTTGGTAAACGAAATTCAATAACTTGTTTATTATTTTCATAAGTATGGTGTGATTGTTGTAATATTGTTTGAGCAGATTCATTTACATTAATATCTTTTTCATATACTTTATTAAATTTTGATTGTGAGCTGCTGCTACTGGTCGTTGTAGTACTTGAATTAAGTTCTTTGGCTTCATGAAAACTAACAGGTAGTATTGAATTTGTATTTGCATTTAATTCTTGAAGTGGTTCCGAAACATCTTGAACTTCAATATATTCGACAGGTTCGGAAATTTCTTCAACTTCAACATTTTCCACAGGTTTCGCAGCAAATCTTGAATTTAAAATTAAAATTTTACAAGCTAACTAGATAAAAAAAATAATTTTTTTTGCAAAAAAAAGAAGTTCCTATCTCTATTGCATACATATTGGAACAGAAATAGAAGTCACAAATAAAGAGGTATCTGAAGATTAAACAAAACGAAAGAGTAGATCTATAGAATACATTTTCAATGATAACTACTTATTGATTATGTATGAAGAGAATAAAGTAATTCATAGTAGATATTTAATTCTTGTAAAGGTGTCATATAATGCTTCACTTACTCTTCAAATGGTGTATCCATCGTTGAAATATATGCCATATTATCACTACCTTCAACATCATCTAATCGATCTTGTCTCATTCTATTTATAAATAATATTATGCATTTATATATAAATTACTAAATGAACTTAAACTTACTGAAGTTTCTCTCGCAGACGACTTCGAATATCACCTGGTACTAATTTTTGTTCAACATATTTAGAAAAATAAACACCACGACTTGCTATTTCAGTTCCTTGCTTCTTCCATTGCTCCATAAGTAATGTTCTATCAACTTGATCAACTTGCTGTTTTTTTCGTCGACCACGTTTCTTTGATCCAGTTTGTTGAATGTTCAATTGGTTGGCTTTAAGTCGAGCATTTGTTGTTGAATATAATTTCAATAGGAATTCCCCTGGTCGAAGATTTGTTTGCTGTCGAAGAATTGAGTGTTTCAAAATCTTGAAAAAGGATTCAATTGGTGCGTTGGAAACACGACCACCTGATAATGTTTTTGAATGTACATCATAAGTAGAATCAGATGCATACCTATTGTTACTAATACATTTAATAAAAAAGTTTATTAAATAGAATTTTCTTACCGATCTTGAAATTGATACATTAATCCCGTGAAAATAGGTAAGTAAGCAATCCATTTATAAAATATTTTAACTAATTCTTTAGAAAATAAAGGATTTTTAATATCTTTTTCTTTATTTCCTTTTGATTCATCAATAATTTTAGATAATATTGGTGAACGTTCTCGAGCAAGTTTCGTAAATGCTGACTGATGAAGAATTGGCTGTGATGATAAAAAAATATCATCTAATTCAGCCAACTCTTGTTCAATTAAATTGTCACCTTTGGTGATACTATCATCTTCAAAGAATTCTTCAAATTCAGGTAGATAATCAGCACCAGCCTAAAATCAGAAGCGGATATTGAAATAATACCTAAGGGTAAACAAAAGAGACTTCTTGCCTAAAGTCTCATGACGTATCATCAAATCTTTGAAATCTTTTAAAATCTTCTGAAATCTTTGAAGTCTCTGGAAGTCTTGCGAAATATTTGAAGTTTCTTGAAGTTGTAGGAAATCTCTTGAAATCTTTCTAATCCCTTAACGTTTGTGAAGTAACTTGAAGTCTTCCAAAATCTCTGAACTCTCTTGAAATCTGTGAAGTATCTTGAAGTCTTAAGAAATCTCTTGAAATCGTTGAAGTCTCTGGAAATCTTTGTAGTCTCTGAAAATCTTTTTAAGTCTTTCGAAAAACTGAAGTCTCGCGTTGTTGAAGTCTCTTGAAGTCTTGAGGTCTTGAAGTCTGCTGTTTCTCCCCCGGATATGCAATTACTTTGATGACTTGATCGAGGACTTGTTCAGTTGTATCAAGTTCATTGGATCCGAAGATCCATATGATAAGTCCGATCAGGTCATAACATTGATTCATTTCATTGCAATTTAATAAAATGCTAAACACCTGCATAGCTTTGCGGCGAACATGTTTCTTCAGTTTAAGTTTGGATAATGATCGCCCAAACGCGTTCATGACGTGAGCACAACAAAACCTGATGCAAGAGATTAAATTTAGTTGGACCATCGAATATTTTTTCTGAATTGTGTAAAAGCACCATTGAAGGTATGATTGAATACTTGTATTATTTATACTTAATAATGCAGCATTTAATAATGCAGGACTAAAATCGATCACTATACATGATGGTCGAGTAAATCGACCATTCTTAATAGCCGAAACGCCTCGACGAACGATATTTAACCAATTTTCAATAGATGCAGCCGAATGATCGACCAATAATGCCCCAGCAAGAGGTAGCAAATTGCAAGCACCTTTACCATCTTTGAAACAAATTAAATATAGGTAAGGTTTTCGTTGATTAGGTATTTGTTTAACAACCGAACCGGTTGCGTCTATGTGGATGCATGACTCTCTCGTTGATGAACAATATTCAATATATTGAAGTAATTGTGCTTCAGTATAAAATATTACTTGAAAAGGCCATATTTGAAAAACTTGTATAAAACCTAAACAAGTATTATATTTGAAGAATAGAACATCTTACATAAATATTTGAATAAACTACCTTTATTCTGTAAATGAGAATCTTTGTCTGATTCCCTCATGGAAAATAACATCATTTCCAATTCAACAAATATATTTTTATCAAGACACATTTCATCAGATTGTTGTTTAACAGCTGTTGTAATCACGTGTGTAGTAGGTACTTCTGTATAATTATTACATTTTAAAAGTTCACTATTGGCATTAAGTAGATTCTTCTCGTATGTTGCCAAGATTCCTTGTTCCTTGGCTGTTTTAGCTAAATATAACGCCATAATCATTACTTGCTAAATCTGATTATAATAATATAACTTACCCATTTGTGCTCGTTTATCACCTTTCACGTGACGTTGATTGATTTCTAATGGATCATCATGTCGTGGAGTACCAAAAATCTCCACTCGAAAAAAGACTGATCGATTAGGTGAAGCAAGTTGAACCATTTTAATTTTTAACGTCAATGGACAACTCGAATTTGGACAATGTGCATTACATTTGAATAAAGGAGAGTTCATTTTTCGTGTATATAATTGTCGAAGTTTCGAATAAGTAAAAACAATACTACAGGTAATTAATTTTGAATCAACTAATTTATCATAGAATACATCGGTCCATGATGAATCCATATCATGAGATTTAACTTCTTTCTTGTAAATCTAAATTAAAAAATTGTTATTAAAAATTTAAATGACGAATTTGCTTTTATATGTATCAATTAGCAAAACATACATTACGCCATTCTTCATAAGTAAATTCAATTAAATGTTGTTGATGTTCAATGGTGTTACCGTTTGTACCTGCTGAGTTGGATTCTTTTGATCGTGTACGGACTTTTGTCAAGCTTGGTATGCATGAAAGTTCTTTAACAATAGCTTTTTTTGTTGGTGGTGGTAATGGATTTTTAGTAAAATGAGATCGAAGCTTGGCGGATTCACGATACCATATAGTGTAAATGTATTTTCGAACACGAAGATCATTATGAATTGGTAAACGAGTAGCTAAATCAGCTGCGACTTGGGACCATAATGAGTTACATGAACGCCATTTTTTATCTTCATCCAATTCAGATATTTTATTGCCAAGATGTGAAACAGCAGCGATTAATTCGTTTAAAGGAATACTAATTTTACCACGCTTTTTACTGCTTTTATTTTGAGTACATGAAACATGATACTTGGATTTCAACGTACGTTTCATATCTAGAATAAAGACAATAAAAACTTTATTAACTAGTGCATATAACTCAATCATCAATTAAATCTCTTAAGTTGTATTTATATAAGATAGATAAAAAAATAGTTGAAATTCTTTAAACTATGCTTACAAAAATTAGCTAAAACAATATCAATTTCTTCGTAATGCATACATACATACTATCTACTAGTCTAAAAGGAAATGAAAACGATGAGTAATATTTTTAACAGATATTAACAATTAAGAACTATCTCTCAATTAAATAATTTTGTAAACCATAATAAAATTATCAAAGCTAAATCAAGGTAACAATATCATAATATTTGTTTCTAAGTCTATAATGAGTATAAATTCATAATTTAATTCTAACGTTGTCCATTTTTTCCAGCTAAGGTATATTTGTAAACAATAAATATTTTTTATCAAGCATGTGATCGTTATGATGCTATTTGAAAATGTACACAACGTGTCTGCCTATACACGTATAGATACACATATATGTAACGTGTAACATGCAACGTGCTTCAGAAAAATTCAATTTTTCTCTTCTTCTCAACAGATAGTCAACGTTGGTAATAAAAAGACACACGTAAAATGAAATATACATGTTCCGTGATAAATATTATGAAGCACAGTATTTAAATATAATTAAATAAAAAAAATTTTGGTAAATTTTATAAGCTATTACATTTTTAGCATCACATGATCGTCAATGAAATATACTCAAATTCATATTTCTACTTGAGTATTCATCAATGAGCTGCATCTGCTCATAAACTCATAGTATCGGATAGAGTTGTACAATAAGTTTAAACTAGAAATTATGTACATTAATCTATGTATATATATATAAGAACAATATTTAATATAGTTTTATTCCCACAACTAAGTAATATTCATCATACAAAATGCAATTCATCAAGAACACATCTTT